GAGGACAAGGATTGCCTGGACAGCCTTCCACTGAAGCCAATGGGGCCATTTCTTGTCACCTGTGATAGAGGAATTTTTCATACAAGAAACCCAGAGTGGCATCTTTATCTTTACTGGTAGAGTGCATTGCTTGAAGCGAGACCCACATGTGTCTTCAGAAAAACATTAATGTAGAAATTAGAAAAGAGAGTCAGAAGGGGTGGGGTCAGCTGGTGGCCACTGTCCCTGCTCTTCAGTCTTGTGAACTCCACAGTCCCTTCTTGGCTGAGTGACCTGAAGACCTCAGAGTATCTACATCAAATACAAAGCTGAAATCATGCCAGATAAACTTGCTTGGCTGGATACTTTCTCCAGTGAGAGAACTTTGATGTGAGCAAGTTTGACATTTGTCAACTTAGGAACTCGTGAGGAGTATGGACATACTGCTAACTTGTCCTCCAGGAGCAAAGATCCTTCTACAGTGTTAACCTCTGCATGGGAGATTTGAAAGAAGTAGGTGGAGTAGTGGCCATGGCAACTGAGGAGACATAGGTTGTGATACTCTCACAGATATGGGGCTCCTTTAAGATGGCCAAGATCCCAAGCTTAGCTGAGGGGAGGGCTTGGCCCAGTCTAGTCATAGAAGGAGCTAATACACTGGCCATGACTATCCCTCTCTTACAACAGTTAAGTGGCCACTTTGTAGCACTGCCATACTTACCCATCTTGCCTGGGTGACAATGGGGTAGAAGTGGGCACAAGGTTTCATCGCTTTGGTAGGAGTTATCAGAAGGGAACCCATGTTCGCCTGAACAAAATTTTTGTGACTTCCATATACCCATGACTTCTTTTGATGTAAGCACTCCCCTGCATTTCACACTGCCACCTTCTTTGGGAATCATTATCTCCCAGATACTTCTAGTAACCAAGTTGCTAAAGGAGTAATGCCATTTATGCAAAAATACTGTTTTCTAGGCTGGGTCCTCTTCTCCCATGGTTTTTACTGTCTTCTAAATGCCACCTCCCAGAGCTCCAGCCAACACCTTTTCCCTAAGCCAATTTTGTCTTTAATTTCTCAGATTGCTTCTACATTACATCACCTTGTACTTCCCAAGGACTCCAGGTCTCCCTCTCCTACATGCCCACTGTGGAATGTCTCCCCTGGACTTGTGGTTTCAGTTACCACCCTCATGTTACTAATGTCATGCCTTTAGTTCTCACCCATCCCCTAGAACTTGCCTGCCTCTACAAATGGTAAATCCAGGCCCTCACACCCAATGAATCCAAATGTCACTCTTGATTTTGTCCCATACACAATGGGATCCACTTTTAGTGTTTCCCATTCCAGTAAACTGCATCCTCTTCTTCCCTTTTCCTTAAGCCAGAAACCTGGCTTGATTTCTCACTATTCCCACCTCATGTCCAGTCCTACCAGCCTATGATCATTGACACTTTTCATACAAAAATATTAATCTACTTTCTATCTACAGCCACTATCCTACTCCAAACTACCATCATCTCTCTTCTGTACAATAGCCTTGTAGATTTCCTACACCCACTCCTGCTCCCTCCCGTTCATTCTCTATGAAAACCCAGAAGAAACCTTAAAGTCAATTCTGATTTCACCACTTCCCTACTTTTTGTTGACCCTATAATAAAGACTGAAAAAATTAACTTTATCTCCTGACAATGCCTCTCTCAGTCTCAAGTTCTAGCCCTCAGTTCCTCCAAGCTGTTGTGCTTTTCTGCCTTTGGACCCTAGCATGCCATTTCTACTAGTATGTTGTTCAACGTTCTGTTCCTCTATCCATCTGATTTTCGTAAGATGGAAATAACAACAACCTCATAAGGTGGTTGTGAGGCTTACATGAGCTAACTGTGTAAACCACTTAGTACAGGGCCTGGCACCTGGGAGGTGCAACGTTGTATCTACTGCATTAGAGCAGGGAACATTAACTACTGGAGATAGCCCAAGTGGAAAGGTGTCTACAAATTCAGTGGGCTACAGAAGCAGAAGTCAGGGTGGCCACTGGACTATCGGCTTCAAAGTGCCACCACCACAGTGATGATCCAAATGTTAGTAAGCTGCCGCTGCTACTTCTCCCACCATTCCAGCCTCTGCAACTTCACTCACAAATATTGAATAGACACACTGAAACGTGGATTCCAGAAGCCACACATGTGTTTGGAATGGACTACCTGCCACCAAGCCTCAAGAAGATAGCCTCTAACTTAAGCCTACCAAACATTATTGGCAGAATAGAAAGTGTTATAAGAACCCAAGATATGAATGGGTCTGGTCAGTGCATTTTTTAGTCTATGTTTTCAAGGAGAAACCTAAACTGTATAGTAATGGATGCTGAGTGGCAAGTAATAACTAGTCCATCTATCTTGAAGGCCGACAAGTATTTTCATGCACCAGCATTCCAACTGTGATAAAAATATGTATAGAATTATTGGAGTCAGCAGGTGGCATGGTGGTTAAAGAGCTGGACTCCCATATGGCTGACTGTGGATTGAGCCCCGGACAGAGAAGCTTGAAAATCATGCCGGACATTTGTGCATACATGCCCAAATGGAGGAGAAGGGTTTGCAGTGTAGCCATTCCCTCTGGGAGGTGATTTATCACTTTCCCTCTCTCTGCCTCTGTCTCTCTCCAGTGAGCATACACATCCTATGGCAAAAACCTTATAAAAAAAAAAAGAAAGAAAAAATTATCACTGACTGACAAAATCTTGTAAAATATAAAGAGGGTTGGGGACAAGACTGGAGACCAAGGGATAGTCTTGAACAGGGAAAGAAAAAATGTATCTTTCTTTCTTTTTTTTTAGTTTGGAGAGGTTTTTGCTATAGGGCGGGAGTGCTCACCAGAAAGACAGAGAGAGACAGAGAGACAGAAGCGAGAAATCACCTCCTGGGGGGGGGGCATGGCCACTGCAATCCCTTCTCCTCCATTCTCCTCTCAGGATCTTGGACACACACGCACATGAGCCTGGCGCAAGTTTAAACCACCGGGTCCGGGACTCGAACCATGATTGACTACATAGGAGTCCAGCAACATAGCCATTACACCAACTGCTGGTTTCGTATCTTTCTCTAATATTGCAAGGAAAATGGTGAGAAGACATGTAGACAGTTTATAGGCTGAAGCCAGGAGAAGGGAGGTGGCAAAGTTAAGGAGGGTTCTACCGCATGTCATGTATTAATATTATCTCTGTAACGTAGGAAGTGAATGTCATCTGTCTTGAGTGAAAAAGTTAGAGGCTGGCTAGGGGCCCTGATGAGAGTGGACTAGCTAATGAGTAAATGGAGAAGGAAGCTGACACAGCCCGAGAAATCTTTCTACACACCACCTAGCAAAATAAGAAACAAAGGATTTATTTTAGAAAGTACTGTTTATTTTTATTCATTGAAAATGTCCATTTTAAAAGTCTTCAAAATAAAAACAAGTTAGAAAAATTGTGTAAGAGGGGACACGACAGGAATAAAAGAAAAACTAAAAGGCCTCTAAGGGCAGCAGTTTAATGACAGGGTAACAGGAACCCATTTCTAGAGTATTGTAAACAACACAGCTATGGAGACACTGCTCTCAGGTTCACATGGCTTCATTTCCTTTATATTATTGTTTAGTGTGTAAGCAGGGACACCAACTGCACAAGCTTCATTACCCAGAGTACCAAGGGCCTCTCATTGGAAGGGTCAAGTCCTGAAAACATGCATATGTACACATAACTTTAAAATAAAGAACTTTCAATATTTTAAGCAATCAACTAAAGTAATTTGTTATCACAAAAATGTTTCTTATGGATATAATTTGCACATTGATTGTGAGCCACTGACAAACAGACGGGGCAGACATGAAGATCTGTATTGGTAATGTTGTTTTTAATTTTTTGATGAACGATATCGTATCCAAACCACCATGCTTAAAAACAGAACCACAGCCATTCCTGGAAATCTTATTAACACTTCAGCTTCCAAAGACAGCTGTGTGTAGCTGGCTGATGTCACATTGCAGGAATCAGCCATTTCCTGTGGATGGTGTAGTGTCTGCTTTCCAAAGAGCAGACAACAGCCCTATACCGCATTGGTATGGGGCCTTGAAATGCTCAGTACCAGAAAGAAAAAGGTTCCTCAGCAAGCTGGGGTTTTCAGCTTCAAATTTGGTTTCTAAACATCCCTAAAATCCACATTTACAAGCACCCATGAAATGTATCTGGAGGACGACTTTGATCAGCCCATTCATTGCTCTTTTGTGTCTCTTTCCAGTGACCTTCCTTGCTCAGCCAAATTTCTTCTGTCTTTGGAGGCTGGAGGGGAGGGTTGCCCTGCTCTGTCCTGGAGTCTTGAGCTGAACTTCAATTGGTTTAAATGTGCACTATTTTGTGGCTCTCTTCTAAACCTGGTTTCTCATGGTTCTATTTTCTGAGATACTTATGAAGTTGACAGTTTGATTCATTGAGCAACTTCAGTAAACCAGTTCAAAATAATCAGCTTCACTAGCAACCAGCACAGCTACTAGAGGGGCCCTTTCATTCTGGATATATGAACTAGGCCAATACCATGTTTCTGTAAATAATGCTTAAAGTCCTATTCAAAGAGGCTGATGAAAATTACAACTTGTCTTAGTATATATGGGAGAGCAATAAAGTGAATGAAAGCTGTCTACTATGGCACAATATCTCCTCAATGCAGATTGTTTTGAAGGGTGAAAGGTCGTAGTTAGAATATGCAATGTAGATAAAGTAATTGTTCACAGTCTAACTACAATTTTTTAAAAGTAAGCAAAGCACACACACACACACACACACACACACGTACTAGTTTACACAGTGCTTGGTATGGTTGGCTAAAAGCACTAGGGAAACAGAAAACTTAAGACACTAGGCAGGAGGCTAGAGTAACAAACGTATCATGCACTGGGGAGAGATGGTCAACTCTGGTGCCAAAGGGGAGGACCATCCAGTGCAATTTGCTGATGGACTGG